TCACAGAATCATTTAGGTTGGAAAAGACCCTTAAGATCATCGAGTCCAACCGGCACTACAGCTCACAAAGATCACTGAGTCAAACACCACACTTAAGCTCACAAAAAGTACGGAATTTTGCATGTGTACAAGAAAAAAGCTTTACAAATAATCCTACAGGACTTCCTGAGTTTGTACTAGCTCAGTTCTTTTTAATTATTCTGGTAGCACAGTAATTTGAGTAACATTTGTGTCCTTTGCATTACAGTAGCTTTAATGAGTCCTCTCTTTGCCCTAGACGTACTGGCTTGTGGTTAAAAGAAAAAAAAAAAACCAACTAAAAAGAACTCCTTGAATTTCAATAGATGAAACAGGAGAGGGGCTGTGGTGGGGAGGTACAGCAAGATTAATTATTTTTTGAGGGACTTGATTTTATTTATTTAATTGGATGAGGTGCAAAGGTGGCCTTTTAACTTACCTGAGTAGGCACTTTCGGCATGTTTTTTCATACCTGTGAATCTTGCTAAGTTTCTCTTAACTGATGGACTGATAGTAAACAGTTTTATGATAGCTGAATAGTATTAACCTTCATGGTGACTTTTGCTATTAAAAATAGCTTTGCCCTTATCTACCCAAAGCCTTTTAAAATGTGGAAATAAAATAGAATTTCATCTTCTCTCTGGGAGGCCAGTAGGTGAAAACAAATGATACTTGCCAGTCCAAGGACGAGTCATCCCTTAACCTGGCTAACAGACTGTGTTTTTTGAGGCCTGGAACAAGAAGCAGAAATTCTGCAAGTCTGAGTTTCCTGCAGGCTCAAACTTCCTCAAAATTGTATGGTCCCAAGTTTCTTGAAAGTCTGCAGTTTTCTTAACGTTTCACTTGTCCAACTCAACTAAAGAAGTACCAGCTGGTACTGCATTTGCACTGATAAACTGTGATACACCGTACGTACATACCGGATAGTTTCACTGGGGAAACTACTAAAGGTGAGCTCCAGTTTTAGAGCTGGGATTAGATGCATTGTCAAGTGGCGTGACAATGGTTTATATTCCATCTCTGTAAAATTATCATTCATTATAGAAGACATCATGTTCAGAAAAGACCATGTTCAGACAGTTACTCCAATTTAGTAATCTAATGATTACTAGTATCTAATAGCTGCACTCTAAAGGCTGACATGTATCGCCAGTGTAGTCTGATGCATTAAATTTTTTCTCACAAATGCTGTCAATTTTCCAGTTGTTTAATTCTCACTTTCACACTACTGTCTTTCCAAACCATCAATGATATGGCATCATATGGGTTAAGGAGACAAGAAAAATACGATTCCAAGTTAAATTTCTGGAAAATTACTCCTCTGTGATTACACATGGGCTTGTGATGCAGAGGGCCTATTACCACCAAGATGTGATTCAAATAGATGTAATTCTATCTGTATGCTTCAGGGCATGGAGAACTCATTTGTACTTGATGTAAGCAAGCAGACATTATTTCATGTGATAGGCATATGTTACCACTGATCCTCAGGGACAGTTTTCATCAGGCTTGTTTTTAGCTGAAGAGCCATGGAAATACCAAAGCCACCTCTTTTTTTTTTTTTCCTTTCAAACTGTTCAGTTATTTCCCTACCAGCTCTTCCAGAGCAGAAAAATACTCTTTTAAAGCAGCTTACATTAAATTGCTTAGATAATAAACATCATGTAGTTCAAATCTTACTACGGTTAAAAAGAAATACTAACATTACCCAGGAGTAAGCAGATTTCATCTTAGTTCTTCCCTATCCATGAAGGACAAATTCTCACCTGATAAAAACAAGAGGCTGGTTGCACCATCAAAAACTTGGGAGTGAAGCTGTCTATGCCTTAGCCGCAGTTACAAAGTCAAAGTGTGGTTACAAGTAAAACTCTGTAAATACTCTGTGGTAATAAAGCCCCACAAAAATCTAGATTCATTTTGGGCAACGGCTTTTAACAGAAGATGTTAAGCAGTAGAAACAGGTAAGGTTGATGGTACAGACCTTTGCTGCTTTCTGAGCTTTTTGGATATCTCTTCTTACAGAATTTTCGTCTTGCCAAAAAAATCTGGCTGTTTAGGCCAGAATTGATCGCTCTTGACTGAAAATTACTTTGCAAAGTCATGGGGTCACGTGGTCAGCTGTGTAGCGTGCCCGGAGTTTGCATCAGGGATCTGGCCCTTTTCAAAGTTGCTCCTTGCCTATACATATCTATCTTTTCACTCATTCTAGTCTCTGGCACAACATACATGAACATTTTAGTACAGTTTGTTTTAGTAGTTTGCCATAATAAAATAGCTGTATTGTCTCAAATTTCTGGCAAATTTCTATTATATCCTCATGTGGGCAGTTGGCAGTGGAACTGGAACTTGAGACCTCTGGATCCCATGGTGCCTCTGCTGCAGTCACAAGGAGGTGCACAGGAAGGACGTAGCTGATGTATACAATCTTGATGCAGCCCAGTCGCTACATGGGGAAACAGGCTCACAGTAAGAACAGCCATTTGTGCAAGCTCAGACCAGGTGTTCCCCTACAACAACAGGGTCCAGGAAAGCGCTACGAGATCAGTTTCCCCTCCAGAATTATCAGTTTCTCTTTCAGGGTGACACTTTCAAACACATTAAGTGATGTGGGTTTTTTTAACCTCTTTTTCCAAACATGCCTAAATAACGTAAGTTTTCCAAATAGCTTGGCCGTGTTAAGTGACCTCCTCTTTTTAGTTTTCCAACTGCGTATTTGGTCCTTTATTTTGCTGCATTCTGCCCTTACTCTGAGTTTAATCTTACACAGAAGATAAACAGATCCAACCTGCTTTAAAATACTGCCCTTTAAGGTGTGTTTCCACTTTTGAAAGAGCGTACAAAGTGCAGTGGGAATTCCATGTTTGTGTCTGAGTGATGGCAAACAGCTGTATTTGCTTTACAAATTGAGGGCCCCTTTTTAAAAAAGATGGCTGGCCTGAAAGTCAAGCCTTGCCCTGCCCTTAATTCCCTCACTGACCCCCGTACAAATCCCTTAGGTTAAAAGGAATACCACATGTAGCTAGCTCTGTAATTAGAGGTCTGTTGAAGATGGGCCCAAGAGCATCCAATTACTTACAAGTACTCTGAACAGTAAAACACTCCTAGAAATTGGTAGATATAATTCCAAGCATAGAGAGACACAAGAAATGAAAGATGAAGAGATACCGTTCCGACACAGCTACACTTTAGAGCACAGCTGCCTAACATAGTTAAAACCTGTACCGCAATACTAAACCGTGCTTGGTGTGCTAAGGCTGCAGCCTTCCCAGAACGAGCCCACTCCCCAGCCCAACCAAACCCACGCTTGCATCTCTCATCAAAGAAAATGTGTTTGCACCACAGTCTGAAGAGAAATGCTGTCTCTCACCTGTTAGTCCTGGGTCCGTCACACACTGAGCCTCCAGGACATCAAAGGTTATCTGGTAATGAAGAGCTCAAGGTGGTCCTGTTGTGCCGAGTTATGACTTCTGTTACAGATTTTATTTATCTGCAGAAGCGTGCTTGTGAGAAGCTGACTTACGGAATAAAATAACTTTCAATAATCCTGTCAAGTGGAGAAGCTATAAGGAGGGAGTAAAAGTCATTATAGGTAAGTTAGATTTTCTTTTTTTTAGGAGGTGTTACAAGAAGAGGCATAAATTTCACAAATTATCTAAGGACAATATTATAAGATTCCTGTGTAATATCTTCATGGAAATTATAATTGCATCTCTTACAGTAAGGTTACAGGTCAAACTGTAAGGCAGCAAATAAATGTTGAAAGGCTACCTGTCTGATGGATGTGCACAACACAGATTCTGGAATTTCAGTTCTATTTGCTCAAAACATGCAGCTTAAAAGCGTGATAGATAATTAACTAGGATAGAAGCAGTGCTTGCAATTCTAAGAAAGCCAGCGTCTACCTATGCATGTTTATTTTTCTTTCACCACTCTTCAGTTATTTGCCTTTTAGAATCAGGTTTTACCAATATTCACATGTGGAAAACTGTATACCGATATGAAGAGAAATAAAAATAATCAAGATCACCCATACGGAATGCACCTCACTCACTTCGAGATTATTTCTCAAGGGCAACAGAGGAAAAGTAAACCAGTCAGTACTAAGGGAGTGTGCAGGCAGCTAACAGAAATTAGGCAGAGGAAACTGGTAAAAAAATAGCAAACAATAACCTAGGAATAAACTTTTAAAGATGCTCAAGCGTCCTGCTCTTGCTGACCTTTTACACCTTTCTGATTCTGACACTTAAGCCATTAGTTCACTTGATGCCAGGTCTGGATTCTGACAACTTACTATGTTAAAAAATAACTTATATTAAACGTACGTCCAGGTTGGAGGTGGCTCTCATGGGAAGGTTCTGTTCCGTGCACTTGTGGCATTAGAATCTAGCTAAAAGCAAAAGCCTAGTCCAATCCAAACTGAAAGCCTCCCACTGTTATCAGTTGAATTAAGTAAATACAATTTGAATAAGATTACAAAGGTTAGGCACTGCAAAGCAGCAAACACCAGAATATTTTAGAAAGAAGGTTTTAATTTTTTGGATGAAACAGGTTTTCTGAAATACAGAATCAGAACATTAAGACTAAGTAAGATTTTTATTTTAATAGAAAACTCAGAAGGATGTAGTATCTGCTCAAATATGTACCTCCACATTCTGCTGGATGTTGCTGTAACAAATTTATTAGTCATAGCTCTTGTTACGGACAGATGGTTCCTACAGCAAAAATATAGAAAAATAATTTGGATTCAAGTCTAGAACACCTGCAACTTTTCATATGCAAAAAAATAAATCCAACTAGTCATAGAAAAGTGGCTGATAAGGATGGAGAATAGGGCTGTGCATCTGAATAGCCATGACTATATACATTCCAAACTTAAGAAATGAGCATTTTTCCTCAGCCTCATAAAAATAGTTTGTCAATGAAAAATACCAATATGTAATACATTTAATACAATTTATACTTGAATTTAAAGATCTCAGATTATGGAATAATAAGCTAAAATCAAATGTACTGCTTTTTCAAATGTTCTTGTATATAACAATACTCTCTGTGTATACAGTGTGCATGCATGTACGTGTATACACGCACAGAAAGAAAGAGGTGTATAGAGATTTGCTGAAAAATCCTACAAGATTATCTGATTTCATTGCAGACCACAGCGTACAGACTTCCTGGGATCCTTCTAACACAGGCTGCTCTAAAAAACAACGTTGACTGGTATAACCACATATCTACAACAGGATTTTGCTATTATGAATTTAATTATCCATTTATTTTTCCAATCTAGATTTCATTTTTCTAAGAAGTAAATGCTGCTTTGGTAAGATTCTGTACTGTCATGACAAAATAACTGTGAACATATTGGGCAAAGCCTTGAAAGTATGAATTAATTTTGATAATTAGTAAGTAATAAAGATACCAACAAGTTTTAAGCAGCAACAGATTTAAAATGACTATGTTCTGACTTATTTTCTTCACCAACAAGCATCTCGAGCAAGAAACTAAGACGAAGAGATTAAATTTCTCTGCCTGCCGTCACCGTGACATTTTAAGCCACCAAAGTCACAGCTGGCACTGAAAGAACAGTGGCATCAGCAGGGACCTCCATCCTTGCAGGACATAAATTGCATTGCGACACCCTGCCAACACCGCCTTGGAAAGGCCTGTGATCTGCGGTGTCTGGTGTATGCTGCTTCCGCCGGGTCTTTTCTGAATGTGTCGGATTCTCTGTGGTCCTTGTAGTTGTGGACTGCTCTTGATTTTTCATAGCTCCTTTATGTTTAGATCTGAAGCTGTTATGCTGCTGTCTTCTGTGTTCAGACCTGGAACCACTCTTTGTATTATTTTGGTCTGCCTCATTACTGGCACCTTGTGACTTCAGAGATCCATTGAGCCGGATGTTTTGGTGCTGTGGGTTGAATCTTCGTCTCTGGTTAGAAGGCCCATTCTACCCAGAAAGAAATTGGATAACCGTTAGGTTATCTGAATTCGCCCAACAGGACAAGAAATACAGCAATCAGAATTAACAAAAATTGCAGAATAAAATTTTTGGTGTAACTGGAAGAAGGAAAACGCTATACAGTTTTGATTGTCTCTATTTGTAACACTTAAAAACTCAACTATGAGTAACATGCTACATCTGAGTAGCCTGGAAATACAGATGGCAGGTTCACCACTGATTAAAATTAAATTAAAATTAAAATCTGCCATGATTCAAGAGAATACAGAAAAGGGGATGAAATACTAGACATCTCAACAGCAGCAGTTAAGAAGCACTGAAGGACTTGATACTGACTGTTTTTTTCCAAAATCATGAAAATACCTTTCCTAGTAAAGTATTCTGTAAATTCTACATTAAGACTGCAGGAAGAACAGAAATTCACATGTAAATTAAAGCCAAGTTAAGAATCCACATGGTGGGAGAGATGTCCATTGTGATACCTTGCTCAGAGGAAGCTTTGATCCTTAGTGGGAAGTGGCTGAACTGCTTTATTTGCGTGACTGCCAGGGCGGCTGACTCCACACGTGCACTGACATTATGTAACGCTCCTACTTGAGCCTAAAATCCCTACTGGGACAAAATTCAGACCAGCTTCAGTGGCAGCTTTACCTAAGCACAACAGGACATTCTAAGGTGCTCTTATCATGAAATAGCTACCAATATAGCACAATACTATAAGCCGTATTATACAGCTTCGGAAATAATATGCTTTTAAACCTGACAGGATTCCACTTTCAAAGTCTATCTAATAGTCATGCTTCAATAGCACATCAACTGATCATTTGTCAAGGATCAGGAATAAATGTTTCTTCATTGTAGCATGTAGGGCAATTAGCTATTATGGAGCGTTTTTCTTTTTCAGTCTGTTAAGTGCCACTAGTCACTTCTGAACACCAGACAGCGGTCTTTGCTGGTATGGCATTTCTGGTATTTCCACCTTGTATGTTCACACTGCTTTGAAAATGAAGCTGGAAAAATATACATTTGCACATTTAAAAAAAAAATTATTAATTAAATACACAGAGTGCAAACCAGTATTTGATTTTGTATTAACAACTTTCAATGCTGCATGCTTTTCTGAAATTTTTGAAATAGTTTAGTTGATAACTGCTTTCTTACCTGCTTATTTGTCGGGATTCCTTGGGAAGAAGATTCTGCAGGATTGGAAGAAAAATGACTTTGTCCTTTAGCGCTGGCTGTTTTATCATCAGAGTTCTTGGCATTACTAGAGGACTTCCGGGTGTGCGTATTTTGCTTGCCAGTTGTTGCATGCGAGGTCATTGAAGACAGCACTGAACTACATGGTGTTCTTGAGGAATAGTTGTTCTTTGGGTGAGAAACTATTAAAAAAAGTATTCTGTGTTATTGGTTGAATGACCAACATCTAAACATAAGGCTGTATTCTTACCCTGCTTACAGTTAATTTTGGTAGCATCGTTCAGCCTTACTTTAAATAATGAAGACAATTACTTCTGTGAAACTGCCTCACCGTGAAGCACTTCTGGAGACAAAAGAGCCAACGTGGTGGAACCGTGCTAAAACTGGAAGGAGCCTGGCAGAAGGCTAGGCTTTGGTCATCCAAGAAAACTTTTCAAAATTGGTGGCACCTATTGTTTTGCTTGGGAGCTTCAGCTGAGCTGAACATGTGCTGTCAGGACTGCCCCACGCACTGCTGTCCAATCAATAATGCTCCTAACGGGAGTCTTTGGGCAACAATGGAAGAAACACGGGAAGGAAGTGAGTGGTATGCCAGTAACTCTCTCGACTGCTTAAGATCAAAGGAAGCTGTGCCTGCAGACACCACAGACTAAATTTGATTCCAAATTATTCTTTGATCATGGAAGGCTGAAGAGGCTGACATTTGCTGTCTATAAATGCACTAGCTACAACACAGGTCACAGCCATGAAAGCTTCCTTAGTACATATAAATATTTTTTAAGAAGAAGAAAAAAAAGTCTAGTGCCTATTGCTCATTCCTCTCTAAGGAGATGGTTAACAAAGGTTCTTCTGACCACGGATATCTATAAGAACTGGAACCGAATGCAGCGCAGTAATCCACTTCATGTAGATCATGGCAGCCAGCACCATCAGGAACCACTATTGCTCATTTCAGTATATTCCTGCTCCCTACTTCTTAGCATTTTGGGACCGCGTGATTTCTTAACCACTTCCATGTCTGGATGTGAAGTGTGCCAAACAAATCCTTGATTCCTACCTCTCTGCATTTCCACAAGCTCTTCAAGCTGCCTGTTTCTGTGCAATGGCCCCTAAGCAGTCTCAAAGAGGACTCTGAGGCTATTGAAGTAAAGTGCTTGATCTCAATTTGCTGTTCTGATTTTTCTGATGATGGAATTTTCCTTTTCCTTTTGGTACAGATGACAAACAAGAAGCTCGTTCAGTGAGACACCTGTTGTTTTATCTAAGAGGTACTTCTCTCTTTCCACTTTTAGTACAGAGAAAGAAGATGCGGAATAATTTTAGCAACTGAGAATCATCTGTTAGTTTTTTTGAGGCTCTTATTCACTTATGCCAACATCAGCTATTTCTCCCACTAGATGTCCTCTTCAGAAAAACAATGCAATGATCTGCCCAATGAACTGAATTTTCTGTCCTAAGTTCAGTGAGGCTGTCTGTCACTGAATTCTACTGCACTCTCTTGCCTAAAATAGATTGCTGCACATGGAAGCCCATATAAAAATCCAGGTACTTGTCATAAAAATGTATTTTTAACAAAAAAGATGTACAAGGAAGGGGTACAACCCACCATCAGGCATTCTGGATATATGTCAGTCCAATTATTTTTATTTCTTCCTGTCCTTCATTGTGAGCGTATGCTGCCTACCCTCTTCTCATGCTAGAACACGTCTTCCTTTGCACAAGCTCTGTGTTTTTGGGTATTGCTTTTGTTAAAGCCCTCAACAGTGGCTGTTCGTACCTTTAGGCCTGCTATAATCTCTGAGGGCAGCTCCTAGCAGAGTATGAGCCTCATTGTGAGATGCTCCAAACAGAAACATCTTTTGCACTGAAGAGCTCTTACCAAAGACATGCCAACAGCACGAGTTGCTCATCTAAGGTCACTGAGGGCAGATTAGAGCTAAGTTCTTCAGTCGGCCAGTGCACTATCAGTCATTTGTAAGATGGCACTGCTTCCCTGCTAATAGCTGTTCTTTTGATTTCACTGACCTGATTTCAACAGGTCTGCATCAAACTATGCTGAAGTCATGCTTTACTGCAATGAGGTATAAATAATTAACTTGCAGAATTAACTGCAGCTGGAACTTATTTAGGAAAGTAGTTAAAAAAAATAGTCTCTGGTTGTATCAATAGCAGCTGTGGTTATATTAGTCTGGATAATCTTTACAGAATTTTTAGTCTCTTAAGCTTCAGGGTATGAGATAGGGTCTATGAGGTGACTGAACAATTAGATGCATTACTGGGAAGCTTATGCCTTCCTTTGAAACATCCTGGGTTGTCTTCAATAAGAGACAGGATACGGGGTTAGACGGATCTTCAAAGTGTTCTGCAAAAGCAATTCTTATGGTCTAATGAATTAAACTGGTTATGCCTCAAAGGAGTCAGTTCTTTAGCTGTGCAGTCAGAAGATCGTATTGGCAGACTGTGTGATATTTTTTCTTTTTTTTCTATTTCTAGTGACTCCTTGAAAACATTAATTATTTTTCTTCCTGAAATTGTTTTCCTTCCACCAATATCACTAGTTCAGTATTGTGTTAACAGTTTTTCTCCTGAGTGATGGTACTGATGGGATATCATGGGACAGGGTCACATTTGGGGCAAAGCATTATAGCATTTACTTTTTTGTGGGGAAAAAAGCATGACAAAGATGAGAAATAGGCTATCTCGTATTTTGCAACAGGAACCTGATACCTGAAGCAGAAAATGAACCTGAACTTCCAAGCAGAAGGGCAGATGATTTGGTAACAGGAACATCTGGGACCACTTTTAGCTCCTGAAAAACCCAGTGAATACTGTTACAAAGCTGGGGAGCTACTTCCTAGCAGAAGAGATCTGAATTGGTCTCGTAACATTATGCTCACACAGAGACGCTTCCGATTTACTAGTTATTCATAAATTACTGAATCTGAGTGTTCCCCAGAGCTGACTTTTACTTCCACTTGGAAATCCTGTTTAGATGGAAAACTCCAACTGATCTGAGTAATACCTGGACATCAGTGACAAAGAGGGCACTGTGCACATGCAGATGGACTGTGCAGGACATGTACCGTGAGTCTAACGTGTTGCATACTGTAAAGCTGACGTGCGTGTTCAGCAAGCCTGCTGCATCCAGATATACCATTCATGTGAGGCTCGCTGCACACACACACCATGGCAGTACGTGTGCCTTTATTTCTACTGGCATTTCCTGCACAGGTATGTGGAACACTATGCTCCAAGAACTTCAGTGTGAGAAATCACTAGCACTTACTTTCTCCACAGAGCTGAATTTGGGTCTTCAGCTGTTCTGTATCACAGGAAAATCGGGCAGACCTGCCCAGCTCTTCATCGTATTTCCGTTCACTCACAAAGTGCTGCAAAAATACAGACAAGTTAACAGTGATTGGCATTCTGAGCAAAAGACTATATGGATGGTACAGAAACCAATCAACACTTATCTTAAGTTCACTTTAAGGCTCAGCAAACTCTTGACCCTGCCCTGTACCCAGGATCTCTATGCAGAACCAAGTACTTTCCCATCCTTACCAAATTACATGTGTCTCAGCCCAGCAATGAGTGGATCACTTCCGCACTTGGGAAGTGGGTCATTTCATCGGAGTATATGCGTTTGATCGCTGAACCTGAAGATAGCAGGTTTACTTGTTAACTGGCTCTGATAAATGATACACAAACAGCAAAACTCCCCACTGCTCCACTTAGAAGGGGATAGCTTACACTTCTCTGATAGCATCTGTACACTGCTCAGGGGTGCTATTAATGCTTTAAGAAGGTGTGTTTTCCTCATGGAAAGCTAGTTACCCTTTGGCCTATAGCAAGAATGAACAGCCTGGGCATGTTAACATGACAGCTCTTCCCTGGCATTTATGCGAACAGCTAAAATACCCCAGCAGAAGTGAATGCCTGACCTTAATTTCAGCCCTGAGTTCAGACAGTTGTGCTTCAGCCATCTGACTGGCTAGGTCCGTCAGTCTCTTCAGCTCCTCAGCTTTCTTCTGCCGAGCAGTCAGGATTTCCACTGCCAAATACCAATAGTCAATAATTAATACTAGGAAGGCAAATTGCTCTGTATTTCATTACTCTTTGGGCATTAACACTGTCCATCACATGTGAGACAAACAGACACATCTCAGACTCCCAACTTCAACTGGACTTCCAATATGCTGCTTGCACAGATTAAGTCAATCAGTGTATTTAACTCAACTGCCTGATGTTGAAAAACATCTGGAAATGGGATAGCTGTCAGAAAATCAAAGTTAAACCAATCCTTCAAGATTTAGACAAATGGGGCAGAGACATGTTGTTTTGAGTTTTCCAGTGCTTCATTTTTAAGCACAAAATTGGGGAGCCTTCCATGGAGACATGGAAAGAAGCATTACATTGAGTCAAGAGCCTGTTTCTGAAGACGCTATATTTTATTTACACATGGGCATTTCAGTTCCTCTGAAAAAAATCTGTTCTTATATCGTTAAAATCACCAGCACTGAAATTTTACTTTCAAGTACAGAATACACACAGTTGCCATTTCTACAGCAAAGCAGTTGCAAAGGCCAAGAGTCTTTATGAAAAAATACTAAATATTCACTACTGCCCATCTTGTATATTTTATATAAGGAAGGAGTGAATAGTTACGTTTTTGTAGGAAAAGATTAACCATGAACCACAAAGCAACTGTCCACTTACATGCAGGATAATATGACATTACAATTTTGGTGGAAAATTACATAGATGCCAACTCTATTACCTACATGGTGACTCAATGTAAAAGCAACAACTGATTAACTGGCTGGTGGGATCAGCACTTATGGCAGAAAGGAAAGATAGCATCTAAATGTAAAATAATAACAATCAGTCTTTTGTCTAGAGCTTATGCCTACAGGCAGGGTGAGTGGTAGTTGTAAACTATCCTAAGGCCACAGACTCCATTACAGCTGTGGAGACTTTGGCTTCTTTGCTTTCTTTTGCTACAAATTTCCAGAGCAGACTTGGCAAGTCACCTAACCAGCTCATACTTCGTAATGCCATTTTTGAGGTAAGAATTAATGATATGTCACAGAGAGTTTGTTTCTCAACCCGTTATCATTTATCTAATCAGATGGCACCTTCTTTTGAAAGTATTATAGAATCATAGAATGCTTTGGGTCGGAAGGGACCTTTAAAGGCCATCTAGTCCAACCCCCTGCAATGAGCAGGGACATCTTCAACTCGATCAGGTTGCTCAGAGCCCTGTCCAACCTGACCTTGAATGTTTCCAGGCATGGGGCATCTACCACCTCTCTGGGCAACCCGTTCCAGTGTTTCACCAAGTACAGCATGGTCCAGCAGGCACAGGGAGACAGAGCTGCAGCTGTACAGCTGTGTGGGAGCAACCAAACCATATGATAGAAGAGCGTGTTTCACACAGGGCAGGGAAAGCAGAGCGTGGCTACAGCTCCTTTAGCCCTGTTGGTAAAACTGCGTATGTCATTACTTATGCTAAGAACCGGTGTGTATCTATCTCTGTAGGTGATCTTTTAATTTCATTTTTGTGGAATACAGTCTACAAGCCTGAGAAACTTTTATCAGATTAAATGAACAGTTTACTAGCTGTTTTTCTTTGTCCAATAGTTCTGCTTTATTACTTATTCTAGGTAACGCTCATATTGTTTCCCCAAGGTCAGCATCCCCTTTGCTGAAGTGACTGCCCAAACCATATGATCTCATCTCATACTGGCATTTATCTCCGCATGAGATGCCAGCCAAACAGCTGTTTTTTAAAAAACCCTGAAATTATCATATTTGGAAATTTTCCCAGTATTGACAGTAAGAGTAAGGTTACCCACTGTAAAATAGTCCTCCAGTGCAGCAAAGAGATGTGAAAATAAATAATAATGTAAATCTTGGTTAGCATGTTACAGTCCTATAACAATTTTCTGCCTAAAGTTCTGAAGGCACTTTACAAGCCTACAACAGCCTTGAGAGACAGCAGAAACCACACTGTTAAAGACAGGTACAGGGGCTGTCCAGTGTCACATGTGGAGTCGGCACGAAAGCAGGGAAATAGAACCTGCCATGTGCAAATGCCGCACTTCACATGCCTGTAGATAAGAATTAGGTTTACTTTCCACAAAAAGTACTGCTATACCTGGACAAGATTAATGAAGGGGCCCTGTGATACCATCAGCCCTGGATGGTGGATTTTCAAAATGTGTTTTTGTTTATGCAGCTAGGGCTTAGATCCATGTCTGCTGATATCAGTGGGAATTTTACCATTGGTTTTCCTGGGAGCGAGTGCATGCCCTGCAGCCGATTATGGCTACCTGGTCTCTGCAGGTAACCAAAAAGCTGCTGATATGTTTACATCCACAGCTCCTCCCCAGACTAATACAAAACTCCAAATCCACATCTATTTCATGTTAGTACTACAAAAGTTAGCATACAAAATTCCAAACACAAACTAATGCCAATCTTTGCTGTAACAACTCACACCTTTTAGTTTCCACACATACACAAGTGCAAGAGACTTAGCTAGCAACAGAGGATTTAAATTATTTTTTTAATAAAAATTTAACTAGTCTATATTTGTGAACTAAGTGAGAGTTCTAAATGAAATGAAGCATTCAAGAATGTTACATATATTTGTGACCCTCCTTGGAAGGACCTTAAATTCACAAATCAATAAAAGGATTGTATGCATACATAGCAGTGATATTTTCATCTACCAGGCAAAGTATCTTTCTAACAATACTTTGGTTAGTCTTCAGTTTTTTGCTTAGCACTCTCTATTGAAACACATCCACTTGATTACTGGGCCATGAATACCATCCCTCAGATGGGGTGTAAGACAGATATTGTGGTATCCTAATACATGGCTCATCTTGCCTTTTTTTTTTTTTTCCCAAACCAGAATATATATACCTTACCTATGCAAAAAACAGAGACAACATGAAAGCCTGCAATCAGATCAGCTCCCACAGATTATTAAAAAAGCAGATTCCAGTAAACAGCTGGTTTTTGATTTTTTAATTGTTCTAATTCATAAGCTTGATCACTATCCCTTAAAGCTATACAAGGCCGCACAATAACCTATTCCCCTAGTAATTTCCAGTATTCTAACTCATATATATAATATAAGCAAGTAGACAGTGATTAAGAAATGGAAATAATCAACAAACCACAGAAATAAGGGGAAAAAAAAAAGTGTAGTCAAAAAGCTCTGATAAGTAAGCAGAAAGAATAAATCATTTAAATCTAACTTCATGTGAACTTTTAGTTTACCTTAATTTCATAATATTGAAATTTTGATGCACAATCCTTACAGATAGAAACTATACAGAAACTATCGTAGAACATCAAAAACTTATTTGATTGTATACATATACAATGAAAGATGCTGGAATGGTACTAACCAAATTTATGTACTGTGTAATTTTCTGCCAAACAAAACAAATGTTTCCATGACTATTCCAAAAGTTCCCTGTGTATTTTTTTTACTTACTGGCTTCTTCTTTAACTTTATCAATTTCTGCCATTAATGACACTTCTTTGTCTACGATGCTAAAAAAGGAAAAAAAGAAAGAAAAAAAACCACAATTTAATCCATGCTAGAACTCCATCAAAATCAAAAGCTACAACTACACAAAGACTTCAGACCTTAGTTATGGGCAGTTTTGAAATTAGTAAGACTTAAAAAATGAAAGCTGAAGGAACAGCTAGGCAAACTGACTACAAAAAATAAGTGATAATTGGTGTATGCTGATTTACACAAACATCTCAATGGCCTGTCCATGTGTCTGCACAGATGTGGAAGTCACTCCAATTTACAGAGTCTTCAGCACTGCCTGGGCACAGCAGTCCTCAAATAACTAACCAGTCTCTTTCCTAATTAAGCCAGATATACCATTGCTGCTACCCAGGTTAATACAGCCTAACTCTCAGCGCAATATTAAAAATAAAACAGAATTAAAGCCAGGTAGAGAGAGGTTCTTCTCTTCCTTAAATAGGGATATTCTTGCAAAATATGTCAGGGTAAACAAGAAAATAGTTTGTGATGTAAATAAGCATTAATGTATCTCCATAACAGAGGTCAGCTTTCTTGCCCCCCATTCTGTGCAGGACTGGGGAGGTGTGGTTCCACTTTGACCCGGCCTTCCTAAAGATCTCGTGTGCCTCCTTTCACAAATCTCTGGTGTGCAATCCCTGACAGTGGTTTTCAGCTGCCAAAGTGCAAACTGATCAGGTGGGTCTACTGAGAGCAGACAGCAGGTCTCGTAAATTCTTCACATCATCAACTCAGCGACATCGTTCACTGAAATACCACCACTGCAGAATGCTCTCCAGTGGACAGTGCTCTGGTGTGCCACTCCATTTTCCCCTCACTAGATTATTCTTAGTCATGTTCATGTTTAATAAACACCACCAATGTTAATGTTTATGTTTGCATAAGTGAGTAAACTCAAGCAGCTGGGGGTAAATTGCAAAACGTAGGTCAAACAACCAGGAGTAAACCCAGGCACGCATACAGGGGAAGAGTGGAGTTCTCAACCCTTTCAGTAAAATCGTTCTTAAATGTTTCTGTATCCAGTGAAGACACTGAGTTACACGTGAACTACCTTCCATCAGAAGGAAAACATTATAGAAAACTCCAGAACAAAACATTTATCTAGAATGCCCTTAGCAAGAAAGGAAAAATCCTACAGAGTTCAGTGGGCAGCAATCGATGACAGAAGACTTACAGAGGCGAGAAGGACCGACGGGTTGTTAACTAAAACAGCTGACTCAACCAGACGTTTACCAGCTAGAACGTGTTCAAGTGCCATGCAGCCTTCCTTGAAATCTTCCTATAAATTAACCAGGCTCGCACAGGAGGTTTTCAACAGAAGTTCTGCAGAGTCCTACCCTTGGGTTTTACCAATCAACCATGCCACCTTCAGAGGAGGAGATGCTACTCCCTTCACGCTGCCTCCCAACAGCCAACAAGAGGGACAGAGGCAGTTGGCTGATGGCAAAGGATGCAGCAAGAAAATAAAATTGCAGCATAACGCATTTTTCTGTTTCATACAGATAAACAAGACTAAAAATGTTGTTTTGGCCTGCCAGATCAATTTAGTGTGATCTACACACCAGAGGAAATAAAACAGCAGGGTTTTTTATGCTAGAGCAGATCAGTTAAGAGGCATACTCTTACAATGAAAGGACACACTTGTTCCAGTTGGCCCTCAATATTCTCTAGGGATAAGCATTAAGTTTGGCTTCCAAATAGGCAGGTGATGATTCCAGCTTGCTAATCTAAATAGCGATAGACTTTTAGAACTAATCTATTTTCAATTAGCTTTTGTAACTACATAATGTAATAAATTTCCTTGGCTTTCATAGCAGGTGGCTGAAATGAGTCTTTTAAGTTCTCACCTGTTTCCACCCTCCATAAAAAAAGAGAGTTTAATGGTCTTTAGTATTTTCCCCTAAATTTAGAGAGTCTGCACATTTTTGCTTTTGCTGTCTCTGTTACAAAAGTGCCTCCCTAGTGTACTACATAGGTTATATAAACATAAACTTTTGGCTGGAAAAAACATTCAAGCAACAAGCTCACAACAGCAGAGCTCATCAGAACTGTGTTTTGGCCCAGTTCATTTCATGAGTGACCTCTCCCCACTCCAACAACAGATCCTTGCTAAACTGCTTTGCCCCTAACATTTTATTTCGATGCCAAATAAAAACGCATTTAATACCAGAATGTGAACAAGGCCATAGCAGTCCTGTATTTATATTTTATAGTCAGATCTCATCTGTTACTAGACAGTTTTCCACTCCTAATGCTTTAGTGTGGTCTCTGATGAACGTTTCAGGAAAGCATTTGGATGTTGTAGTAGTAGAGGCCAGGACTCTGATGAATTTGATGGAGAACAACCACCTGAGTATTTCCCTTGTAGCTACAAACTAACATTGGGAAAACTAAAGAATAAAACAAGAGAAAAAGTGTTTGGTGCCTTTGTCAGTATGATACTAGTTAGTGTGATAAACTAAGTTTCTTTAGCAGACAGATCTTCATGGGGTTGCTCTTCCCTGAAGACAATGCAGCTGTACTTATACACTTATACTAACTTATACTTACTGCTGGCTGGATATGAGCCAGCAGTGTGCCCAGGTGGTCAAGAAGGCCAATAGCAGCCTGGCTTGTATCAGGAATAGCATGGCCAGGAGGACTAGGGAAGGGATCGTCCCCCTGTACTCGGCACTGGTGAGGCTGCATCTTGAGTACTGTGTTCAGTTTTGGGCCCCTCACTACAAGAAGGACATTGAGGTGCTGGAGTGTGTCCAAAGAAGGGCAACGAAGCTGGTGAAGGGTCTGGAGCACAAGTCTGATGAGGAGCAGCTGAGGGAGCTGGGGTTGTTTATTCTGGAGAAGAGGAGGCTGAGGGGAGACCTCATTGCTCTCTACAACTACCTGGAAGGAGGTTGTAGTGAGGTGGGGGTCAGTCTCTTCTCCCAAGGAACAAGCGATAGGACAAGAGGAAACGGCCTCAAGCTGCGCCAGGGGAGGCTTAGGTTGGATATTAGGAAAAATTTCTTTACTGAAAGGGTTATTAAGCACTGGACCAGGCTGCCCAGGGAAGTGGTGGAGTCCCCATCCCTGGAGGTATTTAAAAGAGAGGTAGACATGGTGCTTAGGGACATGGTTTAGTGCTGGACTTGGCAACGCTAGGTTAATGGTTGGACCTGGTGATCTTAAGGGTCTTTTCCAACCTAAACGATTCTATGATTCTATAGCAGCTGAGGACATGGACTCTCTCTCTCTTGACAAAAGGAAAGAAACACACTAATTCTCATCTGGAAGTGTACAGCCACATTTCTCAGCTTGAAAATCATGAACTACCGTATGTCATGGAATAACGGGGGAAGTTAACATTTCTTTAGGAATGTAACAGGCCAACTGTTACTAGGAAAAGCTAGTTTCTTCTTAGTTCACGTAAGGGTCAATTATTAAGGAAACGGAGCAAGAATCAATTTGATTCCTTTCTAGTCACATAGAGCACTTCAGTGCCAAACTGACGAACTCCTTCATCAAGAACTTGGCAAAGTTATAAGCAAACAAAAACGACAGAGAGAAAGCTGGAAATCTAGATTGGGGAAAAAAAAGAGGAAAGACAAAACAATTACAAAAAGAAAACTAAATGCTAACAGATACAGAAGGAGAAAGGACAAGAACATCACAGAAAAATCAATGAATCAAATCTTATCTCTTGTTCCTGCTAAGATTCCACTGTTTTCACACGAAGCTCAGAGAGCCACTTAAGCCGAACAGCGTCTTAACTTATAAAAAGTTTACCTGGTTTTAATGTATTTTCTGGAATAATGCCCTACTCAGCCTCAATAGGATGATCATGATCAGACCACAGTGAGAACTGCTCAAAGCTCAGCTGAGCAATGCCTCCTGGGAATGCATTTTCTTTCGATGCTTCTTAGTGTCCACTTGATACCAAAATGTTCTATCAAGCTGGTACACTCCAGTGCACAGCCTGCAGCCATTGGCGTGCTGTGCAGAACTGGATACGGTGTGCTAGAGGAACTTTCTGCACACTCATGATCACCAGATTTGGGCTCTAGCAGAGCAAAGAACAGAATGCATTTCAGATCTAAAGACACCTCAGGGAAAACATTCTGCTAATTCCTTCCTTTCTAGTTATGCTGTTTCTTTTGGGTCTTCTATAGATGTTAGGAACCAGGGTTAACATCATAAACATGCTTCTTTAGCTGAGGTTCTGGAGAGGTCATACCCTTATCAGTTTTTTTCTGGTTACTCCCAGCACTAACATTCTACCAGGCTTCAGCCATCCCTTCTCCTTCCCTCCAACATCAGCACTTGAGTAGATTCCATACTGAATATATTCCATATACCATTTGAGACTACTGTGACAAACACACAACTCGGTACCACCACTTCCCTCTCTGAATGTACCTGAATCCATGCCCTAATCATCAGTCTGCAGGATCTCCTGCTGTAGTAGCATTTGCCAGTTCTGCTATAAGTGTTCAGGTTTTTATGATACATTTATAATATTCACTGGAGCAAATACTGGGACTCAAATCCCCTCTCCCCTTGACCAGGCTCAAGAACAGATCTGAATCAAGTGGGTCTTACACTCCATGACTGATGCTGGAGCCAAAACAGAGTAACACTACTACCTCTTTGTTTTCTCTCTCTCCCTTTGCAACACCTCTCTTCTGAAAGGACTGATTCTGTTCTTCTCTTACCCCTCACTTTTTCAGGATCAGGGCCTGGGTACCAAACTCTAGCTATCAGCATCGTATCATTGTTGACTGCAGGTGAATATCTGTAGTTTGGAGCAGAGGATTCAGCACTGTTTGATTTTAATATTCAGACAAAATTTTGAGGTGGGGTTCAGGAAGGAGACAATTTTGTTGAAGGAACACAGCAAGGCAGAGGCTTAACAAAGAGGACATGCAAATGGAGCCAGGACACACCCAGTGCTCGTGCTGTAGAGATACGAGATGTAGCGGGAGAAATGCAGCAGGAGAGATAGCAGCTCTCTAGGATT